CTGTTCAGTTTCTTGCACAGACCGATCGTTTTGTGTCTTTACACATCAATGTATCGTCACGAGCCGCAGGGTTTAATTTGGATTTGTCTGTGCATGTTTTTTTTACTCTCATAGATTTTGTTACCATTGCCATGCATTATAAGACTGATAGACTGCAATGGTTGGACTTAAAAATCATCATATGTGTTCTACTGAAGAAACAAAGTTACCTACATCTTGGATGCCCTGGGGGTAAGCAGATAAACATCAAATTTTCATTTTTGGGTGAACTAGCCCTTTAAGGTTAAACGATTATTATGATGCAGTTTAATTGAATTCACAGTGCAGATGAGAACCTTCACAATAAAAGTTTTGCAGCTTCTCTTTATAAAAAAAAACAAAAACAGGACAGATTCTCTCTGCTGTACTGAAATCATACAGAACCGTGACCCCAAAACTGAGGTACATACTTCAGAAATTAAATTTTGTGTTCAACTGGAAAACAACAGAATACAGTTTGGAATGAAGATGAGTAAATAATGAAAGAATGTTCCTTTATAGATGAATTATTCCATTGAAATTCATGCTTTTATTCACTCTTGCTGTAAACAGTATTACACTAAAGTACTCTTTACATGAAGGTTATTCTGAAATAAATGCCTCTTACAGGAATCATCTGAAACCGTGGCCATCCCAGAGGAGGTGATCAGGATGAGGAAGGAAGTGAAGAGGACGAGGGTGCTGATCATCAGTAAAATGGCAGAGCAAGTGGCTGCTCTGAAGAAGAAGAAGACGAAAGGTCAGGAATCGGAGGTGAAAGAAAGCCAAGAAAGAGCAGCAGAAATCATGAAAGAAATCAAGGCTTTAAGGAGCCTTAAACTAGATCAGGTGACCATGACTGCACTTGAGGAGAATATTAACTTTGATAAGATTTTGCAGGACCCTCAGGCAAGCCCAGTGGACAGAGCCATTGCACATATCGCCACACATTCCCGCTTCATCAACAAGCACCAGAAGGTCAAAGAAGAAAAAGCAAAGGCTGCTGAAGCTGAGCAGAAAAAGACTGACAGACTGGATATGGTGCAGTCCAAGAATGAAGATGAGGAACCGGAGGAGGAACATGAGGAAGACGAGGAACCAGAGGATGACCACAACAGTGATGACCGTGAGGAGGATGGTGATGTGGCAGAGGAAAAATTGAACAGTCCTATCACTGAGATCCATAAGTCTAGTGTTGCAGAGCTCACAGAAAGTACAGACTCTGATCTTGTAAAGGTGCCACCATCCAAGATCATCACAACATCTTCAGAAAAATCCAAAAGGGTCGAAATTAAATCACAGAAAGCAGAGGCCACAGCTCTAAATGTCCAAAGTTCTTCTGAAAAGTCTTCAACTGTAAGCAAGAAGAATGCTGGTAAAGCAAGCAAAGAAACTGAGACCACCTTAAAGCCACAAAAGAAAAAAGACCTACCTGAGACCAAGAGGGCTGAGGTAGAAAAGCACGATGAAGAGAGTGATTTATCAGATGAGGAGGAAGAGAAGGAATATTTCGACGACAGCACAGAGGAACGTTTCCATAAGCAGTCGTCTCAGTCTGAAGAGAGTGATGATGATGACTTCTTTCTGGGCAAAGTTAGCAAATTCAAGAAACGGAAAAGTAACCAAGGGAAAGTCGAGGAGAAAAAGAGTGAGCTTCAAAAAACTGACAAGGAGGCCACCAGCAAACCTCATGAGACAAACCTTGGCAAATTACAGTCTGTCTTTTGCTCAGCGTTGTCCAAATCTAGCCTGTCCTCTCAGAAAGCAAAGTTTGGCTCTCGCGATGACGGCACAAGACCTTCTCGATTCCAGAACCAGAGGAAAGGTCCTGAGGGTAGGATGAAAGCAGCTCAATATAAAGGCCAAGACCTTGGCGCTGACAGGAGGACGGGTCCATTCAATCCCAACAGACAGACTTTTAAAGTTGCTGGACAAAGGCAAGCAGGACCTTCGGGGGCAGGGAGGGGAAGGCCAGAGTTTGAGCAGAACCGGATTCCTAGAGGTCCACCTGGCAGGATGTCAGACCCACCCCAGCAGTCCCTTCATCCCTCTTGGGAGGCTAGCAGAAAGAGAAAAGAACAGCAGGCACAAATCACAGCGTTCCAAGGGAAAAAGATCAGATTTGATGATGATGATTAAGAAGAATCTGCTCAAATTCATTTGATGCATTTATATTTTAAAACACACAAAAAAAAATCTTCCTGTGAAACTATTTACTGTGAATTTGTATTAAAACACAGATGTAAAACACAGTTGTTCTTTGTTTCCTTGCAATGTTCAAAGCCAATGTGAATTTCCTGTCGCGTCTAATATATATATATCTCATAGATAAAACTGTGGAAAAGGTGTTTTTTTATTTTTTTGTATTAATTGTTACACAGCTTTTCCCCCCACACAGTTTAATTGTTTCAACTGTACAACTTAAGATTTCCATGTACTGAGTAGTGTTAACCCTACAGTATGGCCAATTTGTATTTCAGAAGTTGTAATACATTTTTTTCTTCTGTAGGCAAGTTTTAAGGTTTTCTAAAACTGTACACACAGATTATCTGCCCATATTATAATCCTGAGTGGTGGAAAGAAGATTTGAAATAAAGTGCCTCTCAGTGTAATTTTAGTATTGTTTAAATTATTTTATAGTATTTAATGATACTTTTGAATTAGTTTATATATGTTTTCCTTTTTTATTTTAAAGTTGAATTAATAGTAATTTAGTTGTGTATTAAATATGTCTATTTTACATTTAAATTGTCGGTTTAGTTTTTATTTTTGTTTTAGTTTTAGTAATTTGAATACTAGAAATGTTGCCTTGGCAAGTAACCAAAATAAAATATATTTATTTTTGTTTATTTTTAGCTATGGATAACTAACACTCAGATGCTATTGTTAAACTTATTTTAATGTTTTAAACATGTTTATTTTTATTTGGATTTGTGTACTTTTTGCTTAATGCTTAATTACGTGTATCGTGCATCTTTCTTTTAGAATTAATATTAAAACATCTACTAAATTTAGGCTTATTTTCCAGTTTTAAAATAACCTATCAAGTGCAGTCAGACTGTGTCGGATATCTAGCGGGCTCTAGAGGACAAACTGGTGTACTTAAAAAAAAAACAAAAAAAAAAACAATCCGCCATCGTGCGTTTTCATTGGCTCCAATATACCTACACGTCAGCACTTGAGGGCGGAAAACAGATCGGTGCTGGCGAATGATTTCGCACATGCAAATCCGTTTTAAATATTTCCCGGGAAATCTGAGTTTCGCGGGAGTACCTTTCGCGCGCGTAAACCTCATCCCCTACTTCATTGTCCGCTTCCTGGAGCCATTTTTCGTTCTAGCGAGAGGGAGTTTGCATCGCATTTTAATCGCTTACTATCAAGTGCAGTCAGAATGTGTCGGATATCTAGCGGGCTCTAGAGGACAAACTGGTGTACTTAAAAAAAAAAACAAAAAAAAAAACAATCCGCCATCGTGCGTTTTCATTGGCTCCAATATACCTACACGTCAGCACTTGAGGGCGGAAAACAGATCGGTGCTGGCGAATGATTTCGCACATGCAAATCCGTTTTAAATATTTCCCGGGAAATCTGAGTTTCGCGGGAGTACCTTTCGCGCGCGTAAACCTCATCCCCTACTTCATTGTCCGCTTCCTGGAGCCATTTTTCGTTCTAGCGAGAGGGAGTTTGCATCGCATTTTAATCGCTTACATCGGGTGTCTTAGGCGTTAGCAATTTCACTCATATTACAGCGATGCATTCCTAACACTGTGTGCTTTCATCATTTATGATTATTTTATATCCTCTCGCTCGGATTTGATAGAAAACGAGCCTCAAAGCACAAGTGGGACAAAGGGAACCTGCGCCTCTGAGGATCATGAGAAAGGGGGGTTCCTCGGTCCCAGGACAAGTAATGTTAACAGGGGTTGTTAGAGGTGAACAACACGGTGTTTTTAGCGCGGTTTCCGATCGACGGTGTGCATCTTATTCCAATGCAGCCCGTTTACAAATAAACACACCGCCGTCCACTAATAATGTCTGTGTGCCCGAGGCTTCTGCTGACAGTTTGTACACAACTCCTCTACAAGGAGCGACACATGGGACAGGACTGCGACCCACACTAGGACGACCACCGGTAAGTGTCCGCTTTAATTCGGTGTTTAAAGTGTTGCCCATTCAATCCTGTTGATGTTAAGGCGTTAGGCTAAGTCCACTTAGCCTACTTCTGCTGTCATCATGGCTACTGCTGGAGCTGCTTTATTTGCATTCAGTGTCTGGAGTAGGCAGGTTTATTGTGCAAAACTAATCGGCACGTTTTAGATACTTAACTCATTAAGACCTTTATTGAATGTCCCCCAAAAATGCATAATGACGCATGATGATTGTTTACAACAAACAGACCCATGCACATTTCCGCAACGTAGTCACTGCTGTTTTTACGATTTAACCGTATTAGACATTACTAACGTAAGTGTATCAGACAAGATGTAATGCATTGTTGTTGTTTTTAACTTAAAATTACAATAGTGTAATGTTTGTAACTCGGTTGGTTTTCCAGTTACACGCCTTTTAAAGTTTTCTTCGAAAGCTCGAGGGCAGCTGCTGCAAATCGCTTTATATAGATCTCATAAAGACAATATATAATGCAATATCCACTAGATATGGTCTAATAAGTCTTAAGAGTCAAAGAGTTGAATTAAGTGGAGTCTAGGCCTGGGCTTGTTGTCTCAGGATGGGGGATGGTGTCATTTCTGAGCTCGCGGACTCTGTGCTAAGCCAAATGCTTTGCTAACTAGATTTTTTTTAAATCGTTATTTACTGCAAAAACTCCTGACTGGCATCTGTTTACTGAATAATTTGACATACGCGAGGTCGATGGGGTTCATATTATCCCAATTCAAACGGTTCATCAAGAGATCAAACTTTTGTTTTGTTTTATAGGTTTCAGGACGTGAAACAATACAGCAATTAACGTTACATCTTCTTCTGACTTAAATTTAGTTGTTTTCAATTTAAAAACGACTTATGCAAAACTGAAGGGAATTGCAAGTGAAAAAAGATGGGGAAAAGGAGATAAAGGTGAATGAAGGAACAACAATAAAACTAATAAAATATCATATAAGATTAACTCAATTTTATTGTGAACCTTAATCATAAAACCATAAAAGTGTGAGGCTAAATATACAACTAGCAGCCTTCTATTGTTAATGTAATGCTGATATAAAAAAAAGTTAATAGAGACTTTTTTTTGTTTAAAAATATGGAATTTAGGCTTACAATTTGTTTGTGGGTATTTTTTCTTCTATACAAAATGTATAAGTTTACCACGTAATGAATCTATTGTCTCCTTTGTATAGAGACATGTCAAGCTATAACTTAACATGTAGTGCCTTAAATTCAGCAAATCTGATTTTAAGATCAAACCATTTTTAAAGTAATTAAGTTCTTTTTTTTCTTTTTTTTTTACCGCCTAAACTACAAAATATGCATTTTATCTATACATTTAAACAAGTTGCAATGCGTGTATGCTTTTGTGCAGCACTTTAAAAGTGTGCTTCTTATGACATCAAACTGTATTGATATAAAAAAAGTTAATAGAGACTTTTTTTTGTTTAAAAATATGGAATTTAGGCTTACAATTTGTTTGTGGGAATTTTTTCTTCTATACAAAATGTATAAGTTTACCACGTAATGAATCTATTGTCTCCTTTGTATAGAGACATGTCAAGCTATAACTTAACATGTAGTGCCTTAAATTCAGCAAATCTGATTTTAAGATCAAACCATTTTTAAAGTAATTAAGTTCTTTTTTTTCTTTTTTTTTTTACCCCCTAAACTACAAAATATGCATTTCATCTATACATTTAAACAAGTTGCAATGCGTGTATGCTTTTGTGCAGCACTTTAAAAGTGTGCTTCTTATGACATCAAACTGTATTTCCTATTTAACATGTAATGATGACAGCAGTATTTTTGCAACATGCAAAACGCAAAAAATAGATCTCGACTACATATATAATTATCTCAGGGTCAGTGGTACTGTACGTTTCTCAGTGGTCACTGAGTTTAAAGGGATAGTTCACCCAAAAATGAAAATTCTGTCATTAATAACTCACCCTCATGTCGTTTCAAACCCGTAAGACCTTCGTTCATCTTCGGAACACAAATTAAGATATTTTTAATTGGATCTGAGAGCTGTCTGACCCTCCAATAGACCGCAATACAACTGAAATGTTCCCAAGTCCAGAGACGTAGCAAGGAGATCGGTAAAATAATCCATGTGACATCAGTGGTTCACGCCGGCCAGGGAGCTGGCGAGAGCGAGCAGCACGAATGTCCTCGCGTAGGTGAGCGGGTCGTGACTCGCCTGAGCCACGGCGATGTATGTTGTTTACGTCCAGCTGATACTCTCCAAAATGGCGCTACAATGTGACGCGGAGGAGACGAATTGTTGAATAAAGTGGTTTTTTTTTTGTTTGTTTTTTTGCGCACAAAGTATTCTTGTAGCTTCGTAATATTACGGTTGAACCCCTGATGTCACATGGATTATTTTACAGATCTCCTTGCTACGTCTCTGGACTTGGGAACATTTCAGTTGCGTCAGCTCTCAGATTCCATCAAAAATATCTTAATTTGTGTTCCGAAGATGAACGAAGGTCTTATGGGTTTGAAACGACATGAGGGTGAGTAATTAATGACAGAATTTTGGTGTGATCTAACCCTTTAAGGCTTTGGTAATCGAGGACTGCCATTTTGCTTCCCCCTGGTCTTAGTTTGTTGACTTCAAGTGTTGTATTATTAGGTAAAACTAACATCTGCTTTTTATGCGAGATGAATCCTGTAGAATTTGCTAAAAAAACCAAAAAAAAAATGCACTTCTAGGAGCTTAAAAAGAAAGTACTTTTTAATGGCCACAGACAATATATTGGCATATTTTGTGATTTATTACCCAATAATTTTGCCAACTGTTCCAAATAACGTAAGTGATGGATTCAGTATTTGCAATGAATAATGCACACAGTCTGTTCTTAAAATGAGGAATTTTTAGCATTTCTGTGCTTTTGAATTGTGTAGTTCTTTTATTATGTGATCAAATAACCCTGAAAGATTCTCACACAAACCTGTGTATGACTAAAAGGGTTCAGTGGCCACCTTTCATATTTTCTTCACACAGGCTAAAAGGAGGCTGGAGCTGGACATCACAGACCACCAATACAGCGAGCCAGCTAAATCCCTTCGGAGTCGCAAAGGAGCTCTTAAACTGAAGGTCCCCAAAGGTATTACGTTAGTTCCGTCATTCCACGGTTTTGCTGATGTGATAAGTGTGTAGAGCCACCTATATTAAGTTATACCATCTAATTACATCACCAACCAGCCCTCCTTCCTTCTGCTGCAGAGTTATGAATGATTGAACGACCTCTTACATTTCAGCTCCCAAAACCCCACCGGAGAAGACCCGATACGACACATCCTTGGGGTTCTTGACTAAAAAGTTCTGTCAGCTCCTGGCGCAGTCCACCGATGGAGTGCTGGATCTCAATAAAGCTGCCATTGTGCTCAACGTCCAGAAGAGACGTCTGTATGACATCACCAACGTGCTGGAGGGGGTGCGCCTCATCAAGAAGAAGTCAAAGAACAACATACAATGGCTGTGGGTTACTTAAAAGTGTGGTTTGCATTAAGCACCGCTGATTCTTTTGGACGTTTAGTAGATTTGAGCTCCTAGTAGCACCTTTTGATTTGTAGCGTTTTAAGCATTGACTTCTGCCGCGGTGTTTGCAGGGGCTCCAGTCTGCCGTCAGAGGGTGGGCTTCCATCTCCAGCCATGCCGAGTCACAGCCTGGCCAGAGAGATGCTGGCGCTCACTCAGGAGGAGAGATGGCTGGATGAGCTCATTCAGACCTGCACACGAAACGTCCAGCAGATGACTGAGGAGATCCACAGTCAGCAATATCCTTTACTCTAGCAGTCAGCTGTGATTTCTCAAGTGTGTAATGGTCACTGAAGACCAGAAAATGAGAGCACTAAAAGGAATGGAAGTAATTCCCTGTTCCCTGTCCTTAACCTTTCTCACATATGCCTATGTGACCTATCAGGACATCCAAAGAATAAAGAGCCTAAAAGACCAAACCGTCATAGCGGTTAAAGCACCATCGGAAACGAAGTTGGAGGTGCCTGACCCAAAGGAGGTAAATAATTTTAAGTTTGAATTTATGCATGTAAAGGCCTTTTCACACCGAGAACGAAACAAGTCGAGGACTGTTTGAAATCTTACCGTATATAGCATGTTGTATATATTCGACAACTTCTCAAAAGCCTTGTTGGTAATCCATTTTAAATGCTACAACAAAATGAATGTGTTTAACAACAGCCGTATAAATGTCCATTTAGTGCACTAATTTAAGTGTCACAAACTTTAGAAGGAACACCATAAACGTCCCCCATATTCTTTCATTTACATTTATGCATTTGGTAGATGCTTTTCTCCAAAGGAACTTGCATTGCATTCAAGGTACACGGTTATATTTTATCAGTTCTTGCTTTCCCTGGGAAAAACCGTGGTCTTGCTCGCACCTGTTCTACTGTTGTAGTTGCAAGAAAGCAAAAGTACTTTATAGGGCCTTTTGCACCGCTTTAGTTCCAGAACTAAATGTACAGTACTAAAGTACTGGGACGATTTTGCGCGAACTATTTCCCAGTACCATTTAAAGGGTTGCATTCGCACCGAGAGTGTATACTAAGAAGTGACGTAAGCCGGTCGACAGCAGAAACAAAGAAGAACAACATTAACAACAGGAGGATGGAGGACGGTGTGATCGGAGCTGTGTTTTTGTTGTGTCTCGCGGGTAGGGCTGTGCGATTAATCGAAATCGAATCGAAATCGCGATTTGAGACGTTGCGATTTCCTAATCGCAAAGCCTGCGATATGGACGCGATATTACTCTGTTCCAGAGCATATGCATGACTGCCAGCCTTGAGCCTTGCGTCTACTGGGTCAGATCGATAGTTAGGCAAATTAAAACTAAAGAAAAACATCTGCAATTTAAGCTTCGAAATGACAGACAACGAACAAAAAAGGTAATTTCCAAGAGCTGCGTCACAGCGCATATCAAAAGCTCCCGTATCGGTTCTGTTTTCAGTACTGGCGAATAAAAGATACATTCTTAGATGTTTTTGTTAGTACGTGAACGTTATCTTACACATTTTATCTCCCCAACAGATTAATTTGAAATAAGTTTATGATGCATGTTCGCTATTCCCAATTCAGAAGAGCGCACACACAGCCTGTGTCTGTGAATGCTTCTCATACTCGCTCCTCTCTGCCCCACGCGGCGCGAATCCCGCGTCACGGACGAGCCGTTCATGCTTGCCGCACTCACGCAGCCTGACTCGTAATGCTCGTTCATACTCGCACCCGGCTCCGCACCGCAAGTCTTCACGAGCGCATCTGGCAGTATGGATGAGGCTTGACGCACGCGCGCAACCTGTGTCGACTCGCGCCTGGCTCCGCGTTTAAAACGAATGTAAATTCAGTCTAACTGCTTGCTAATTTCACTTGGATGAAATGAAAAATTCAAGACATTTTCCACTTGCTCTTAAAATCCCAAATACTTAAAATGAATAAATCAGCCTATGTAACATATGTAATACTTGAATAATTGACTTAAGAAATACAGTTCATTTATAAAAAATAAACAAATATTTTCTGTGAAATTAAGTTAATTCTGTAAAAGTAGTTATACCATTATAATCGTGCCTGCTGAA